ATAGTAGGGTTTCAAAAAGTCATCTAAAAGTATGTTCTCTAATTCTCATTAATTTTGTATGATTGTCTTCACTGAAGCTAGTCACAACACAAGCTCACCTTTCAGAATTAAAAACAAATTAGCAAAAGCTAAAAATGGGACATATTTAGAAAGGATGGAAAATTCCAGACTGCAGAGGGTAAGCTTTTGTGGTTTCTAATCTTTTCCAGTATTTGAACATTGACAAACAATTACTCCCCAAGGAGAAGCGACACTTTCAAAAGGGCCCAGATTCCTAGAGCAGGTTTGTGGGAGGAAGCAGTGGTGGGATATGAGGGATGTCTATGTGTCATGTATATATTTTATAAAGGTGGCCAAGTGCCTTATTTTACAATTTGTGGAGACTTGAATCTTAAGCACACAAGATTTTCCTAAACTTCTAATTATTTTGGACATAATGATATTTTCTTATGAAGTAAACCAATTTTTTTTCCTGAAACTAATGGAAGAATTCATTTTCTTCACATGTAATTTAAGTCAGATCTATTTAAATTAGGTAATTAAACATATGTAACTAGAATGTGGAGCAAGCATGACTCATGATAATGTAATCATAACACAAACTTAACTTTTCCAGTCTTCTATTGGCTCATTATATTCACTGGGAAAAAGTGTCCCTTGACCCTGATGAAAACTCAGACGGGCCCCATGGCTTTTCTGCCCACTCTGGGCCATAGACAGTCCTGACATCATTTTAAATTATAAACACAGCCTCCATAGATGTCAATCAAAATTTCAAACTCAGATTCCTTTCCCTTTCCTAGCTGGAACCTGCTCAGACGAGAAGCCTGCAGTAAAGGGTAGTGACATGGGGCATGGCTGGTGTCTTCATTCCTCTACTTTCTGCTTCTCCTCCAGGCCCTTCTCCTACTGGCTCTGGGTGTTCATCCTTTTCTCAGACACAACCTAGAGGACAGGACCCAAGATGACACCACAGGGGGAAACAAACACAGAGACCCTCCCTGTCACCCCAGCACCCTTCTGGCTATTCCGCTAGAGTAGAGGCTCAGCCCACTCTTCAACCTCTGGATTTGCCAGACACAAGTCAGCTCCCAAGCCACTATATTCCCCAACCATGGGGATCATGTTTTAAACTGTATGAGTAGCCTTGAAACTCCCTACCCCCAACCGGGGTTGAAGTGAAAGGGCAGCCTTCTCACCCTGCTGGGGTGGATGGTGCTCATAGCACAGTTTTATTCGGAAATGCCCTAGATCCTCTCTCCTCTGTCTCAGCCTTTATATTCTTCAAGCAAGGGAGGGGGCTTCAGAGTCCCAGAACTGAGAGTGGGGGTGGGGGAGAGAAAGGAAAGCTCATCTTTACAGAAGAATGCTCACTCGTGAAAGGAAAAGGGTTGTGGCGCCCCCACTGTAGTAACGGATGTGGACAGTGGGGGACTCAGGATATCCATCTAGTTTCAAAGAAACACATCCCATGTTACTAATTACCAAGTCAAAGAGGTCCCATCATGGTGGAGAAAGCTGGCAGACGTCATCTTAACCGAGTGGTCAACTTAACATGACCAGTAATGGGACACACTGAGAAGGACCCAAAAGTCTTCTTGCCAAAAAGGCTTACTATGAATTTAATCATAGGGAAAACAAGTAGACAGATCTAGACTGAGAGACATCCTCTAAAGCAACTGGCTTGGATTAAAAAGAAAAGATAATGTTATTAAAGAGAAAAGAAGGTGGAGGAACTGTGTTAGACTAAGAGAAGAAAAAGCCATGACAACTAAATGCACCATGGAATTCTTAATTAAATCTGGGCTTGCCTCCCCATCTACCCGCCCTCCCCCAAAACATAAACAAATCCTATGAAGCACATTTTGGAATATTTAAATATGGCTTGCTTATTGTATAATAGCGGCGCATCAATGTTAAAGCTCTGGGGTGTGAGGATTGTGTTGTGGTTACATAGAAGAGTGCCTTGTTCTCAGGAGACAGGAGAAAGTGTGGGTGAAATGTCACGAGAGAGAGAGAACAAGGAAGGAAGAAATAGAAGCAAATACAGCACAATTTGGTTAATCTATGTGAAGAGTATTGTATGTTTACCTTTTCAACTTTTCTGTAGTTTTTAATTTTTCAAAATAAAAGGTTGGGGGGGGCAGAAAGGGACATGGAACCAGCCTTCACCCATTTCCTTTCCAAGTACACAAAGTGGAGATTGGGCACCTCTCTTTGAAATTTTATTTAATTGTGTCTTGGTGCCTGGATGAAATTTCGATTATTACATCTTATTATGCATATCAATCCCTAAATGTATAAACATAGATAATGACAATTTCAACCTCAGAATGTATGTGCAGGGCATTGCAATGTAGAAAAACATTTTTGCTTGTATTGTCTCATATTATCTTTACAACACTCTTGGAAATAGCTAGAAAAGGTAATATTTTTATTCTTCCCATTTTCCAAATGAAGAACTGAGCAACAGACAGTCTGAGCAACTCAACCAAGTATACACACCTAAAACTAGTGCCCTCACCCTCTGATTGAAGACTCCCACATTTTTTTTTTCACTACACATATTAAATACCCATACCCAGGAGGGGTTTAACAAAACCATTTACTCTCTTTGTTACTTCATTTTGTACAGAAAGTAAGAAAGAGACTGAAGGATCTTTATTCACCTAGGAATTCCAGATTAGCAATGGTACAGGTGGCTGTGCTCACCCCATTGAATCAGCATGCTCGTTGACCCTGAGTTTATGTGAGATGCTGCTAAGTGACAGCTGCTCAAGTCTGTAATCCCACCTGCTCAGACTAAAGAGCTGAGTAATGTTAGGCTCTGAGTCCTACGCATGTCATTGCAGATCAGCTGCAGCACAATCAGCACAATGAGGAACTTATAGAGATGAGTATAAAAATGAATTCTCCTGAGACCGAGTCAACATCCCCTCCGAATATGGAGGTAAATTTTGTCACAACTCCAGCGATCTTCCAGGGAGATGACAACTCCCACAGGAAGATGTTCACGTGTGTCACAAACCCACAGCCCCAGAAATACTGACAGCTGGGGTGAGCAGGGCCATCTTCGTTCTCCCTCTGCCTCCCTTTTTCTTAACTAAAAGTAACTTAGGGGGAAAACACGCCCTTTCTGAGCTTGGTGAGAGCCACAGATTTGTGAAGAGGCCCAACAGACCCCAGGCATGTGGTCCACATTTCTTCTTCTTTTGTGTTGCATTCATGATGGGGGTTGAATCTCTTCTGCCTTCACTACTGACTGAAGATGCGAAGAAAGAGCAAAGCCACTGTGTGTGTGTGTGTGTGTGTGTGTGTGTGTGTGTGTGTGAATAGACCAAGTAGCTAAATTGTAGAGAGTATAAACATATTCTTTTCCAGGATCCTCCCTTCAGATCAGGACTTTATGGAATGAGGCTGGAATCATTGACTTTCAAAAAAAGCACAAAACACAGCACACCTAAACCAATTACTAAAATTCCGTGGCACACCAAAGAATATATTTTTTTGCAGGTTTGACAAAAAATAGGTATACTTTTGATTCAGTCACACTGGATAGCTATTGTTGTCATTTTTTTTTCAATTTGACAATCTAAGGGGAAGAGAGGTCAGTGTACGTTTTAAAAATTCTTGCGTCACACTGGTTGGAAATCGCTGTTCTATTCTGTACATGGTGTAATTGCAAAGGATGCTTTTCCAAAGTAAAATAGTCACTGGACTTAAATAGGAAGCAATTTCAGACTTTCACAGCTTAAACAGCATTTTGACACGTTCACTCATTCAATCACTTTAGTGCTCTGTTTTGATGTTTCATTGAGAACAGTGTGATTCCATATTATCCCTGCAAAAAGTCCTTCTTAGACTAAAAACATTTATAATTTGCCTTATCAAACATTCATTCTTTGCTTTGATAAAAAATGCATTTTTATGTCATTTCCATGGATTATTATCATGCATTTCCAACATTGATATTGCTTTATAGTAAGCTCCTAATTTACTCAGAATCAGGAAAGCAGAAAACGCTAGGAGAACATTATATTTGTCAGAAAAACCTACAGAAAAACTCATATGCACTTTATTTATAACTTTTATAACCCAGATAGCAAGAATAAATCTTTATAGAACTTGGTGTATTGCAGATTGTGAACTACCTTTTGAACCATCAAAGACAAATTACCTTCAGTATAATTTTATGTTGATTATTTTATCCGAATTCTTTGAAAATTTATAAATCTATGTCACACTGTAAGCCTCAAATAACAAGAACATTCTTTCCCCCCTCTTTTTCCCCAAATATTTCCATTCTCATAAACCTTGGGTGATAATCCATGATTGTAAACCTGAATTAACTAGAACATTCTTTTTAACTTGACCTCCCAAACTATCTTCTTTCTCAATAATACTAGGTAGGTTCCATAAATAAATGCAAATTGAGGAAAATCTGTTTTTAGGAATGTCCTGTAAGTTTTCACAGGAGATGCTCAAAATATTGTTTTCAAACTGCTGTAACAGAAAGGAAATAAAATGTTGAAGCTCCTTGAATACTGAAAACCAAATGCAATGAAGGGTCTCATTTTAAATAGCGGCTTCACGGATTGAAAACTAATCAGACCTGGAGTCATTATAAAAAGGAAGCCATTCAGATGACTTACATCAAATTAAGGTGGCTGGGTTATAAATTCCCCTTCTAATTAATTTTATTGTTTTAGTTGATGGAACCACAGAAATGAAAAGAACCTGGAAAAAGTGAGTGAGCACTGTACCCAGCAGAGGCCACAATTCCAATGCCTGCGACTACTTTAAAAAGGAATGAAGATGCAGGATGTTTAGCATTGGCTTTGAAAGTAAATATTGAGGCTGAAAGACATCGACTGGAAAGGTTGTAATTTTTCATATTCAGTCAAATCAGTCTGAATACATTTCATTTCCTACTGTGAGTGGAATAGTCATCAAGCTAGAATCAGGAACTCCAGAATATTTTATTAAATTTCTTTACTCACCTTCCATGGGGGTGTTACTGTCTGGTCGATTTGCGAAGACGACATCCACATACTCCAGCTGCAGCCTCTGGAGGGAGCCCTTCAATCCTGGGAACAGAAGCAGGGCAAACCGAAAAAGTCCAAAATGAGCACTATTAGAAAGAGTTGAAGTTTGGTTACCTTTAAGAATTTACTTTTGGCCGAGACCGGTTTGGCTCAGTGGATAGAGCGTCGGCCTGCGGACTGAAGGGTCCCGGGTTCGATTCTGGTCAAGGGCATGTACCTGGGTTGTGGGCACATCCCCAGTGGGAGATGTGCAGGAGGCAACTGGTCCATGTTTCTCTCTCATCGATGTTTCTGACTCTCTATCTTTCTCCCTTCCCTTCTGTAAAAAAAAAAAAATCAATAAAATATATTTTAAAAAATTAAAAATGGAACTGCCTTATGACCCAGCAATTCAACTTCTGGGGATTTATGCAAAGGTATCCGAAACACTAATTCGAAAGAATGCATGTGCCCGTATGTTCATAGCAGCATCT